CATGGGCTACATCTGTGCAGGGGTTCTAGATTATCTCCATGCATGGTCCTTGGTTGGAGTATCAGAAAAGACCCTGTGCCCAGATTTTTTGGTTCTGTTGCTCTCCTTGTGGAGCGCCTGTCCCCTCCAGGTCTTTCTAGCTCCTCCTCCTTTCATAAGATTCCCTGCATTCTGCCCAAAGTTTGGCTAGGAGTCTCAGCATCTACTTTGATAACTTCCTGGGTAGAGTCTTTCAAAGGCCCTCTGTGGTAGGCTCCTGTGCTGTTCCCTCTTTTCTCCCTCTTCTGATGACTATCCCGTTTGCCTTTCTGAGTGAGGATTGATCACTTACCTTCCAGGGTCCTCCTTGTTGCTCAGCTTCTTTAGGTGTATAGATTTTAGTATTTTTATCCTATATTATATGTCTAATATCCAATTATAAGTGAGTATATACTATGTGTGTCTTTCTGCTTCTGGGATACCTCACTCAGGATGTTCTTTTCTAGAGGAATATCGAATGGCAGAGAAACACTTAAAGAAATGCTCAACATTCCTTAGTCATCAGGGAAATGCAAACCAAAACAACCCTGAGATTTCACCTTCCACCCATCAGAATGGCTAAAATCAAAAACTCAAGTGACATGCTAGAAAGGATGTGGAAAAAGGGGAACCCTCCTCCGTTGGTGGTAGGAATGTAGACTTGTACAACCACTTTGGAAATCAATCTGGTGCTTTCTCAGACAATTAGGAATAGTGCTACCTCAAGATCCAGCTATACCACTCCTAGGCATATATCCAAAAGATGCTCAAGTACACAGCAAGGACATTTGTTCAAGCACGTTCATAGCAGCTTTATTCATAATAGCCAGAACCTGGAAACAACACAGAAGCCCCTCAACTGAGAAATGGATACAGAAATTGTAGTACATTGACACAGTGGAATACTACTCAGCAGTTAAAACAACGAAATAATGAAATTTGCAGGCAAATGGTAGGGACTCCTTGCTTCTTTTTTTTTTTTAAGTGCTTGTGAGTTTCCAGGAAGTATAAAAGTTTTTTTCTAAAAGACTACATATTTAACAGTACTTTCTTAAAGAATTAGGAAAACAAGGTTGGATTGATATATTTTTTGCCGTCTGAATACAGAAAGCCTGAAGAGTACTTTGATGTTCATACAAACATCGTAGCCCATCTACCAGAAGCACAAGAGGCCAGCAAATCTTACAGTGTTTGTCAAAATCGCCTGGGGACCTCTTAAAACACTGACTCCTGGGGACTGTAGTCCTGTGCTCTCTGTTGTCCAGTGTCTAAGAACATACATGTGTTTTACCAGTTCTAAGATTTTTTTACAGTCAGCAGACTAATTTTGGAACATGTTATGATTAGAAAATCTGCTCATAATTTTTTTTTATTTTCAGAAATAAACCTGAGGCAAAATTTTTCACACTGAAAGGACTTGTTTTGATGTTTAAGGGTATGATTAAAACAGCAGCAATAAAGAAATAGAAGAAATTTTCTGTTTATATATGGTAATTCTAGTCCTATGATATAAAGATTTTTTTGCAAATTATGAAAAGGGAGAATTTTTTTTCTCCTTTAATACCACTGACCTCACCCCTAATGTTTATATTTTTCTATTACTTTTTCGAAAAGTCCCTGTCTTTAAAACTACATGAATATAAATGTAATCAATTATGAACATAAAGTGTTTTTTGTTGTTTTCTTAACAAAGCCCTGAGATTTTTTTCCTTTATAACAGAAAAGATTGATAACCACTATTTGCCATACCTAGATAAATGAATTAGTCAGTTTATTGGTGGTTGCTGACAGTCCAAATAGTATGTCACCAGTTCTAGTGGGGCCTCCTTCCCTTCATCACATTGTGGTAGAACTTTATCAAGAGGGAAATAATACATAGAAAGATAGAAAATAAGAGAGTAATTTAGGAGTTGGGCTTTGGCTTTTATAAAAAGTTCACTATTAGGAGAAGTAACTCAGGGATCCTATGAGAGCTACTGTAATCTCCTCCTAGGACAACCTCCCAGTAGCCTCCAATAGAGGTACCATACTTCTTCACATCATTACACATCACTACACTACACAAACTCCAACAGATGAACCAGTCTCAACCCATATTTAAATAGTAGCATTAGGGATAAAATTTTAAATACAATTATTTCTTACAGTGGCTAGGGAAATGACTATTGGTGAGGAAACATGGCGGCCTGAGTTTCAATCCTGGTGGACTAGAAACAGGCAGGTGGATCCCTGAAACTCATTGACTATCCTGCCTTGTGTAATCAATAAGCTTCAAGTTCAGGGAGAGAGCATGTCTCAAAAAATAAAGGTGGGACGCAATTGAAGAACGGTATCTGATACCTGCTCGGGCCTCTGCGTGCGCACACGTGCATGTGCAAAACTGAGATAGAGCCCCAGGAAGTTTCACAGGTTGGATGTAGGTAACTACCTGCACTTTATTCATTGAGCACCTGGTGTTGGGGATTCTGAACTGCCTTTCTTTTGATAGTCGTAGCAAGAATATTTGTGTCATGTGAAGAGATGAAGAAACTACAGTTTGGTAATTAGCCCAAGACCACACAGCCACTAAGTGACAGAACCATGACTTGTACCCATATCTAGGTTCCAGAGAAAAGCATGGTGAACAGGTAAATTTACCATGTTACTCAATTCAGAAGTTGAATTGTTCAAGGTAGACTTGGAAAGCTAACTAGAAACCATTTCTATATAAGCATTTTGGGAAATTGCTGATGATTTCTTGTAGGTTAATTTGTTTTTATAAACAAATAACTCATTTTTGTAATTGAACAAAACTGTCTCTGAAAACTGGGAAATTCAGCCAGCAGAGAAGACTGTGAAAGAACAGAATACGCTCCCAGCACTCAGGAGGCAGGGGCTAGAGGATTGCAAGTTGCAGCATCGCCTGGGCTGTGTAGCGGGTGCCAGCCAGACTGCAATGTGAAGTCTGTTTCAGCAACAACAAAAGTAAAACATGGCATTTCTTGTTATCAAATCATGGCTTGGGGAGAAGAATGACTTTTTTTTAATAATAATCTAAGGAATTTGGACCTTATCCTATCTGAAGTTTTCAACTCAGCAGTACATAAGAACTGGTAGGTCTTAGGAAAAGCTTACTTGTTTTTATTTTTAAAAACCCTAGATGGGTTCAGATACATAACTAGGAATGATATGGTCAACAAAGAGCTATGGAATCTGGAGCATGGAAGTGTATGTCCATCTTGAAGACTCACATGGATGGAGAGAGACTTCCTGTGATTCAGACCAATGAGTACATGATAATGCGTTGATAGTTCTCAGAACTCTCCTTTGTTGAAGCCTGTTCTAGGGGTATGTGTCGTCATTTTAAAAGTACAGCTTTTTCACCAGCCACTATGGCAGCAGCGGTGGCATGGGCAGGAGGTCTAGCCCCACCCCGCTAGTCACCACAGGACTGGTGGAGATCCAGTCTAACCGACTCGGCTACCACCCAGACCTGGGGCTTTGAGTTGGCCCACCCCAACATCTGCTCTATCTGTGAGCACTCAGAGGGGCCAGTCCTGCAGAACCATGGCCACAGGATCTCCATGCCTCTGGATAATATAAGGATATCCAAGAGCAGTCTCAGTGAGGATCCAGTATTGATGGTAAAGCAGAAGCCAGTGGCCTTGAACCAGACCAACAACTCATTGCAACAAACATTTGCATATAAAGCTGTTTGGGCAAAAGGGTATACCTACTGTGTGACACAGGACAGCTCCCAGTGTTGTTGTGATGCACGAGTGCATGATGGAGAGGTGGGAAAGACAGAGGATCTCAGCAGTGCATGCACAGCAGAACTGGAGTCTTGACAGCCATGGTAGATAGATGAGCAAGTTGTCACCCAGTAGTGTTGGCAGGAGAGTGTGCAGCAGGCTGAAGCTTGCGGGGACTCAGCCCCCGAACAGGTTGCCCTGGTTCTGAATAGCAACATGACCAAGATGGAGAATGGTTCGTTTACTGGATTAGACCTCTTCAAAAGACCTCTATGATCCATGCCTCCTTGCAGAGGCCATGCTAGTCAGTGGCCCGTGCTTCAGCAGAGGGCTATGTTGATGTTCTCAGGCTGTACAGCCAGTTCCTGGGTGAATTCTGAGACTGGTGCCTGAACAAGTAGATGTTTGGGGTCTGTGCTATAGCTAGAAACCATGTGGAAGCCTAGGATCCTGCTCCCGCTGACTGTGAAGGGCAAGGATGCTCCTCTTGCAGTGTTACTAATGACAGATGCAGCCGAGAAAGAGGAACATAAAAGACTTCGTGACAATTCCTACCTCCACTCCACCCGACCCTCAAAAAGACAGCCTAAAGAGGAAGCCATCTAGGAGAAAAAAAAATGCTGGGACACAGAAGTGTAGCTCTCCACAGTAGATGGCTTCTGGCAGGGGTACAGGTGGAGGACTCAGCTTCTCTTGTGGGGCTGGCCACTAGGAGTTTGTCCATGGACTTGTGTTTTCTTTTTCCTTTTCCTTTCTTCTTTTGTTTTTTGGGGATGTAATAGCGGGTGGGGGCCAGACATGGGAGGACTGGGAGTGAGTCCAATCAGGGTTCAAAATGTTAGATTCCCAAAAATAAAAATATTATGTTAATAATAAAATATCATAGATGGAACTTGAGAGGTATTAATAATCTGTTGCACATTAAAAAACAAAAAGTACAGCTTTTGTTTCTCTGTTGTTTAATTCACTAGAACAATTTTCTAGGAGTAACTCTGTTGAGTCAAAAGAAATAAATAGTTTGGGTTCAATAAATTGTTATGATGGATATAACCAATTTGCAGTTTTAAGTAGGCCAAATAGGACTTAGAATAGAATAATTTATTCTAGTCTAATTTTTTGCTAAGTTTGAGGGGGAAAAACCCTATTAGAGTTTTTAATATACTAATTTTATTTTGAAATTAGCAATAAGTTATCAAAACAATGTTTATTGTGTTTACAGCATTATTTAATAACTGAATTTATCTTTAATAGATTGATGAACTCCCAGAGGGAGCTGTGAAGCCTCCAGCAAACAAGTACCCTATCTTCTTTTTTGGTACCCATGAAACGTAAGTTAACAAAATAGCTTAAAGTTTCAACAATTCTAATTTGAATCCACTAGATTATGTACTCTACTATTTTATATGTTGTTATTCATTATTCCATTTATAAAGTAGTTAAATCAGTTCATTTTTATTAATGTATTAGTTATTTTTGCATGTTGTAACAAAATACATAATAGAAGCAACTTTAGGAAGAAAATGTTTATTTCACCTCATGGTTTCAGGGGATTTCAGTTCATCGTAGAATGGCAGGCATGATAAGAGTCTGTGTCGGCAAGAACGTTTGGTAATGGGTTTTTACATGTAGACTGGGACATGTAGAAAAGGAAAACCAGGAGCAGACCTAGGTGTAGCTTAAAAGACCCATCTCTAGTGACATATCATTCAGGCCTCACCTCATAGGTAAGACTCCATAACTTCCCAAGTTAGCATCACCATCTGGGAACTAAATGTTCAAACACATAAGTGGGGAGGAGGGGGTTAATTTCTTATTCAAATCGTAAATAAGTTTTCATTCATAGAAGTCCTGATTACTGAATGATCATCTTTTCTTTGAATTCGTTTTTCTGTTTCTTTATTAATTATCGGTTATTAACCCACGGTAACCCTTTAGGACACTGATAAAGTTCTAGAGTGGTAGGCTTACCACACCTAATAACACCCTTTCAACTCTGTGGATTTCCCCTGTAGAGAAGCTTCTTCCACTAATTTTTTAGGACAAAGTTATGTTCTCTTAAGCCTTTTCAATTTTAGACCAATAATAAAGATATAGCCTTTTAAAGGTTTTCTAGTTATGTTTGTTAAAAGATTCAAGTACTGTAGACATTCATTTCCTTCTTTCTCAATAATATGAAATGGACACAGGTAGACAGATCCCCTCTAAGAACCAGTATCCTCTGTCAGACCCTACCAGTCCTTGGTGTTACTTTTGTGTGCTTGTTTGTGAAAGTCTCACTATGAAGACCAGATTGGCCTTGGACTCACAGAGACCACCTGCTTCTGCCTCTTATGTGCCTTCACAGCAAACTTGTTTGCTTATTTTTTAAAACTATTATGCTGCAATTATATCTGTGCATTTCCCAGGGAGAGGGAAGGACAGAGAGTGGTAAACAAGAGATGCCTTGTAAGGATGACAAGCAAGGTGCATAGATCACTCTTGCTGCATTCATTCCATTGCCAACAACTTGGGCATGGGACCACACAGAGCTGTGGGGAAGCTGGGAAATAGCCTCCAGATGAGCAGTTCTAAAATACGGGAGAAGTAATCTGTTAATGAAAAAATAAGAGAATGACACTGGGAGACAATTGGTCATCTGCCATATTCCTGGACCCACACTTCATTTATTTTCATTTGAATGTTGGCAGTTTGGCGTGAATCTTAGCTTGCTATTTCTCATATTCTAACTTCATTCTGGTCTTGAAAGTAGCAGGATAAAGTCCTGAAGATAGATTTCTTTTCTTATGTGATAAATAATTGTGTCTCTTTCAGGAAATAAATATTTTGTAAGGACTTTTTTGTATTGTTTTGAGTTTGGTTTGTTTTGGCTTAGTTGTTTTTGTGTTTTGGGTTTTTTAGTTTGTTTGTTTTCGTGTATGTTTTGTTTGTTGCTGAACTAGCTGTAAGTCCTCATGCAGGCAAGAACTTTACAACTAAGCTATTCCCAAGCCCAATTTTCAGCTAACAAACACTGTATATGCCTTTTCTTCTTTAGGTTTCTAGAAAGCTTAAAAGTATATGTTTTCCCTATAAATACATAATGCTTTGTGATAGATATTTTATTTATCTCACTCCTGACCATATTTTATGTGAATATCATTGTTTTGACTTTTATTTAGAATAATCTGTCTGCAGATTATCTGGTTGCATTTGTGGGATAAAGCAGAAGTTAATTTCTAAAATAAATTACACTTCTACTCTATGTACCATTTATTACTTTTATTCCCTTCATAAATATTTGTTTTCTAGGCATTCTGTAAGTCACTGGAAGTAGAAAAGTGTCCTTAAAATCCTGCCAGCTGGCACATAAAAACATTAGAAAGTTTAACCCGCAGTTACTTCTCTGCATAGAATAATTGCAGAAAGACAAAAGCCAGAGTAATAATTCCTGTCGTTTTCTTGAAAGTGAACTAGCTACATACAGTGTTTATTTTTTCTTATGTTCATGTTGTTTGTAAAATAAGACTTCAGCTTAGCCCGCTGAGTTCTTGGTTTTAGTTTTGATTATACTCATTTTCCTCCCCCAGTTCTTCCTGTGCCCACACTTCTCTATTCACTCAATTTTGTATCTTCTCTTTTCAAGCCACCGAGAACAATTTGTGCTTCCCAAATATTCTTGGATGTGTGGTCTTCCTGCAGAATGGCTGACTACCAGGGCTACACTCTTAGATAAAACTGTCTTCTCAGGGTCTCATCATAGCCCAGAATGAGTTCAAACTCCTGCCTCCACTTCCCAAATGCCTTAGATGTGTGTATCAGCATGCTTAGTATAAATAGATTTGTTAGGTTTTTTGTTTTTTTTTTTTTAATCAGCTGGATAGTGTGAGAGGTCATTGCTCCACCCAGTCAGAAAATGGAATTTATGAATGACTGTTAACATGTTGACTGAAAAGTTTCAGTTTCATCTTTTGCTGATTTCTAAATTTCTATCTCTAGCTCACAACCTCCTTTAATCTCCAGAGTCATCTTCTAACTTCCTATTTGATATCTTCACATGAATGCCTTAACTGAAACTTTAGATTGTACAGCTTTCTTATTTCCATTCTGAGATCTTAAAGAGAGCCTCAAGTCCAGTTTCTCCATCAAAGGTTCTTTCTTAAGAATGAGTTCTGGTTTTGGCTGTTTCTTCACCAGCTACAATGTACACCCTGCCCAAGTTGCCATCATTGCTTTACTTCAGTAGCCTTCTGCTTCTTCTTGCTTATATCCTTGTACCTAACCTCACTTGGTTTCCAACACAATAGCCAAACGATGCTATTGACACATCTCAGAACCTTTCATGGATTCCCATCTTATTTAGTACCTTTGCAATGACTTCCCAGGCCCTAAATAATCTGTGTCACTAACATGTTACCTCTCTAAGCTTATCCTATGCTGCTGTACTGTTACTCTTTTCACTCTAGCTGCCCTGGCCTCTTTTGTGTTTCTCAGACACATGACCCATGTAACAGCACAGACGGTTCCCACCTCCCTTTTTGGTGATGCCTTCCCCAATCTTTATAGTTAAAATTGTAAAAGTCATCCCTAGTCTATCCACCTATGATGGCTAGTTTTAATTGTCAGTTTGACCCAATCTAGACTCTCCAGGGAGAGCATCAATGAGAGATCATCTAGAGTAAGTTGCTTATGGTTATGTCTGGGAGAGGGGTTCTTAATCGTGTTAATTGAGCTAGAAAGACCTACCCACTGTGTAACACCATTCCCTCAAATGGATTCTGACTACATGAGTGTAGTGAATTGAGCACCACTGTGCATGCATTAATTCATTGCTCTCTGCTCTTGACTGTGGATGTAATGTGTCCAGCTGCTTCAAATCCCCGCCACTTTGACTCTGCTACAATGATGGATGATAACCGAAATTGTAAGCCAAATAAGTCCTTCCTTCCTTAAGTTGCTTTTTTTAAGGGTGTTTTATCACCGAAATAGGAAAAGAAACTTAGACACTGTCCCTATCTGAATAAACAAATATAAGTTTGTTACAGTTTTAATTGTTCTGCTGTCAGCACCTGTACTTCATGAAGGCAGCCGCGTGGCTTGTTCTCTATGGGATTTCAATACAGTTGCATCAATGCCTGGCACAGTATAGGTGTGTGACTGGTGTTTGTCAAACTAATAAATATGTAACCTTAGTTTGAATACAAGTCTCTGAGTGTCAGCCAAAGTGAGCCTCAGTAGTTTGACTCACTCGCTAGAAGAAGATCACAGATGATGCTGTGGACTCTGTTTGGAGTGTACCAGTTGTTGCTTCTTTTTAGTGCTTACAATTAATTTAGAGTAAGATTTAAATTAGATGTGATTTTGCTTACTTGGGTGGGTTGTTCTCTTTTTTCCCCTTGATGCCCAATTTACGGAAATAACATTGGCTAGCTATTCTAAAGTAGTATACAAAATTAAATTATTTTATTCCAGTGTGTAAATTCTTATTATAAATCTCACAAACCCTTACCTACAGCAAGATTAGCATAAATACTACTTTAAAGTGATGATTGAAGCAATCAAAGTAAATAGCTTTAGTTTTACTTGAGTAACTAGAAATTAATTTTAAACAAAGCATATTGTTAATATTTAATGTGAAGTCAAAATAGAACAATCCAGAGTTGCTGGCTTCCATACTCAGATACCCATTTTTATTGCCTTGAAATATGTTTCTAAAGCATCTTGTGATAAGTGCTTTACCCACAGGGTTTATGTATACTTTAAATATGTTTATTGTAATGTGCTCAGACATCATATTTGATCCTGATATTTAAAATACCTGTATTTGAAGGTCAGCCTGTCAGTTTTATTTCTGATCTATCCCTGCAGTGCATTTCTAGGTCCTAAAGACCTTTTCCCATATAAGGAATACAAAGACAAGTTTGGAAAGTCAAACAAACGGAAAGGATTTAATGAAGGATTATGGGAAATTGAAAATAATCCAGGAGTGAAATTTACTGGGTACCAGGTAATAGTCTGCATCACAGTCTCTTGTTGTATCTCATTCTTTGCTTTTAATTCTTATGCATCTTCGTAACGTGTTCTTCATGTTAGTACTTTCCTTCCATTCATTTGAAGCCAGAGTTCTTCTTTGGCTATAGCAGCATTCTTTGATTAAGTACCAACTCTTGCCCAGTAGAGTTTGAATTATGTAGACATTGAAAAATTGACTGTGACAGCTATTGGGTACATTAATTGAATCAGGATTTCACATGCTGCTGAGGTTAGCTTTAATATCTTGGCTTTAAGCAACACCCCTACCTCAGCCTTCCTAGTAGCTGGAATTAGAGATGTGTGCCACTGTGCCTGACTCTCACGGTCCTTTATTTTGAAAATGTTCAAAGTAGGCCAAAGTCTTTGAAATTAAAACATAGTGATTGTTTTTCAGTTTGTGTGCTTGCTCTTTTTTTAAAATGTAATTGGCTATTTTTTTCCTTAGACAATTCAGCAACAGAGCTCTTCAGAAACTGAGGGAGAAGGTGGCAATACTGCAGATGCAAGCAGTGAGGAAGAAGGTGATAGAGTAGAAGATGGAAAAGGCAAAAGAAAGAATGAAAAAGGAGGCTCAAAACGGAAAAAGTCCTACACTTCGAAGGTTACTGAAAATCTCCCTCCTACTATTAATGTTTCCTGCATATTCACTAACGGTGTTCAGATTGGGTGGGGGGTATAGCTCCTTGGCAAAGTACTTGCCTAAAACATGCCATTCAGCCACACCCCCCAACACACAGAGGCAGTAGTATACCAGAGAGAGAGTCAAAAACCCTGAGGTACGAGGGGAGTTACTACTGACTCTTCAAGGCTGACCTGCCCTGAAAGTCTTCCATAGATGCTTAGTTGAAGGAAGAAGGTTAAACATCTAGGCTGAACCAGGTGCTGAATTGAACTGGGTGAGCACGAGTGAGGAATTTCAACTCCATAAAAAGGGAGAGGGGAGACAATAAGAAGTAAATGATGAATGTAAATTATGAAAGGGGTTAGGAAGGAAATGAATGAGAGCAAGAAAGCACATAGTAGGAAAGTGGACAGGCCTTTCTGTGAAGGCAAAGTTTATCCTAAGACTTGAAAGAAGGCTGTAGGAGAGGAGCCTTGTGTGGCAGAGGGAAAGGAACAGAGCAGGAAAAGTGAGAAGGGAAAGGTCTTATTGTGCTTGTAAACTCAGCACAGGCATCTCCAGATGTTGAGTAAGGAAAGACAGGTAATGCTAAATAGTGCAGCCTAGTAAATTACATTAATGAGTTTGGATTTTGTTTCAGTAACATGATGGTAGATTTACAAAAGGAAAGACTAGGTTTGTTACATAGTAGTTTGTTACATAGTAGTTCAAATGTGCAAGAAAAAAATCATGAGATTTGTAAAAATGGTTTGTCCTTTAGAAACTAAAAGCAAGATAAATGGAGCCTTGAAGACCTAAGGTTTGTTACATGATTGAATACTTAAAAAATTACTTGTATTTAGATCCTCGTATTTAGTAGCTGGATATGCTTAGGAAACACCTGAAAAAACAAGTACCAAGAGCTTCTCAGACTATTAAAATTCATTTTTGGCAATCTTTAAAACTCACCTAACACACAGGCAAAATTGTGTGCATGCATTGTTATTTTCTGTGTACCTAACTGTGTCGTTCTCCGTGTACCTATTGATTATGAACACAATTGCTAGGACTGGGGAGGTTGTTCAGGGGGTAAGGTGCTTACTGCACAAGCATGAGGACCAAGTTTGGATCACTCAGCACCCACCTCACATGTGGGCCCGAGTGGCTGTAACCCCTGAGCTGGGCAGCCAGCTGAAACAGGTGATCCTGGAAGGAGCTTGCTGGTCATTCTCACTGGGGGACTCCAGGTTCAGTGAGAGACGCTATCTAAAACTACTAGGTAGATTCAGGCTCTGGGAGTCCATCCATGCTGTGGTAGATAGTCCCATACCCATGAACATGTGGGCCACACTAAATGGGCACAGTGGGTATTAAATATAAAACAGAAGCACAAGCTGGAGAGACGGCTCCGTGGTTAAGAGCGCTGGCTGCTCTTCCCGAGGCCCTGAGCTCAGTTCCCAGCTCTCACAGCAGCTCACAACCATCTGTCGCATCCGTTCCAGGGGATCTGCGCCTCCGCAGGCTCCTGTATACGCATGGTACACATAAATTCACACAAGTACACACACACTTACATAAGAAAAACTAAAAATATTGAAAGCAAGGAAACAGTCAAAAAAGAAGCACACGCACATGCAGTTGGGAGGAAAAAAAGGTGGGGGGTAAGACACATGTGATGCTCATGTATACCGCAATTAGCAAACAAGCAGACAGTTATCATTGATGGAGATAGTTTATAAATGATAAAAAAAGACCTTCCCACTCAGACTGTTTTCTTCCATTGCAGTTATTTTTAGACTGAATTTATTTTAGGTTTCACTTAAACATCCATTTGAGTTATTTTTATTCAGTTGATTGCCTGCTGAGCACCTATGGAATGTATTTGCAACCCTGAATTATGAAAAAGCTACATAAGGCTTTGTAGACTTTTAACAATGGATATGTGACCTTTAAATGTCACTATTTCATTACATGTTTCAAAGATCAACAGTACCAAGACTTATAGTTAGGATGAAGTTAACACTTTACAGCACTAAAGGTGAGAGCTAAAGTTTATCTGCTTAAATGATTGTTTAATCCACAATCAGTTAAAAACTATGTTTAATTTTAAAGATTTATTTATTTAAGTATATCTGCATGTATACCTGCATGCCAGAAGAAGGCATCAGATCATATTAAATGTGATTGTGAGCCAGCCTGCGATTACTGGGAATTAAACTCAGGACATCTGGAAGAGTAGCCAATGCTCTTAACTGCTAAGCTATTTCTCCAACTCGGAACTAGCTCAGTAAACCAGGCTGGCCTCAGATTCACAGAGATCTGCCTACCACTGTCTCCCAAGTGCTTGGATTAAAGGCATGTGTCACTACTCCCCGCTCCCTTTTTTTTTCTGTTGGTCTTTTTGCACTATGCTAGGAATTAAACACAGGCATACTAGGCAAATACTCCACCACCTGAGCTACAGCCCAGCCCAGATTCCAACATATACATTTTCCTATACATTTGTGTGTTGGGGTGGGGTAGGGTGTTTTTTTGTTCTGTTTTTTTTTTTTTTTTCTTGTAGAGAGTCTATTTCTGTAATCTGGGCTAGCCCTGGAGCTCATGGTAGTCTTGCTGCCTCAAACTCCCAAATGATGTGATTACAGGTATGAGCCAAGGAGCCAGTCAGAACTGCAGCTCTTTACTGTCAGTATCACATTTCAAACTTTCATGGGTATCAGAATCCTTTGCAATGTTGTTAACATGTCTTAAGGCCCCCAGAACTGAAATTTCAGAACTTTTAGGAAAGGACGAGGAATCTAGTTTGTCAGTCTGCTGATAGGAATAACACTTGGAGAAACTACTTCCCCTATAATCCTGTTGCTCTCTGGATTCCTACTCTTTTCTTTTTGTTGAATATGGTGAATTTCTCTTAACATTGAGTAGTCCGCCTTTGCACTGGAAAACTAGTAGCCTATAATATCTTCGGTAACATCCATTCTCTTCTATTTATCTAACTTCATTTACCTATGGGGGGAAAAATGCATAATCAAAAAGCCAACATACAGATCTGAAGAAAATTACAGATCTTTTTAACAGTAAGGGTATGGCTGATTCATATTAAGTACTAGCAGATACTAGAAAAATATAGATAAAAAGTATTTTGGGGGGGAGGGTGGGACCGGGAGGGAAGGAGGGAGGGGCTTATGGGGGGATACAAAATGAATAAAGTGTAATTAATAAAAGTTAAATAAAAAATTAAAAAAAGTATTTTGTATGCAAGTGAGTTATGGTTAAGGCTTATCAAATCCTTACAACAATTAACTGATAAGGAGACTGGCAGAGCAATAATTTTAGTTAACAAAGCAACAGTTAGGCATAAAACCAATTTAGGACCACACTGATAAAACAGATGATAAATACCAAACGCACAGGAATTATGATCTGAAGAGCTTCACAGAGTTAGCTTGGCAGCTAGACTTCCTGCTAAGATACTAAATATTGTTACCCATTAGTAGAACTCCAGCGATGCCCTAGCTCCTATTGATGTGAGACTTGGTATGTATATCATGCTAAGTGCCGAGAAGCATAGCTCAGCGTTGCTCACAAACACCCTGCACAGGCATTGGATATATTATGATGTTGTGCATTAGGCCAAGAGTGGCAGATCAGGACTGTTAATTTAGGGTTACTGGATAATGAATTTAGAACATTTCAAGTGCTACATAATTTTTACTAAAATGAAACTTTACCTTTATATTGGCATATGGGATCTTTAACTGAATATGCTTCAAACTTCATTAATAAATCTGTTTTTAACCTATAAGTTAGTATAAATCTGTTTTTAATCTATAAGTTATAACATTTTAAACTAACATTGTGGGCGTGTTTTGTAGTTTTAGTCAAGTAAAATAGAAGCAGTCTAATTACGTTACTATCATGTAACTAAATCTCTTTGTATTTTAGAATTATTTATTTTATGTGTGTATGTTGCCTGCATGTTTGTATGTACAACACGTGTGTATTGCCTGCAGAAACCAAAATAGGGCATTGGATCCTCTGGAACTGGAGTTATGAATGATTATGGGCCATTGTATTGGTGATGTGAAATGAACCCAGGTCTTCTGCAAGTAAGTTCTTTTAAGCAATGAGCCATCTCTTTAGCCCATCTTTGCATTGAAAAAAACCAAAACTAATTATGTATGTAAAGGGCTGGAGAGATGGCTCAGAAGTTAAAAGTACTTACTGTTCTCGTAGAGGAGCAGAGTTTGATCATCACTCACATCAAACTGCTCACAACTGCTGCTTATACCTGCACCCTAGACACACATACATGTGCGCAAACAGAACTAAAATTATTTTAAAAATCTGATTGGATGAGGGGGCTAAAATACACTAATTCATTTCTGAAAGGCCAAAAAATGATTTGGTTGAGTCAGTTTACCTTAGTTTTTTATTTGCAAAGTACTTGAAGTTTAATTTTTTTTTTAATTTCCCTCTCTAGTACATACTACTTTTCCTAGAGAAATGGTTTCATGTAGCCCAGGTTGGACTCAATTCATTATGTAGCCCAGGAATGCCCTTGAACTTGTTATCGTCCGTACTTTATCCCCTGAGGTCTGGGATTACAGACATGGACCCTCATGCCCAGCATATATAGTGCTGGGGAATCCAGCCCAGGGTTTTCTGCATTCTAGGCAAGCACTACTAACTGAGCTATAATCCCAGCCCATGAAACTTTAGAGAAATGTGGATTTAATAGATAAAAAGATAAGCGGGTCAAGTTCAAAACCTATTAAAGGGACTGCATTAGGACAAGCTGCTTAGCTTTCATGTTTTCTACCCAGTGGTCATTCACATGAGCCCATTAGTCATTGTGTATATACTTGAAATTAAACTAATTTTTGACTTAGAAACAAAGAGCACTTACGAGCAGTCATCAAGATCACTCTGGGCAAAGGCACTTTGCCACGAAGCCTGATGACCTGAGTCATCAGGAACCACTTGATTGCAGCAGAGAACTGGCTCCCGCAGGTTGTTCTCTGACTTCCTCACATGCCATGGCGGGTGCATGCACCCACGCAAATGCATACACACAGTAAATAAATATTATTATAAAAAATTCAAAAAAGTCTTTTGAAAGGAAATCTTTAAAAATGCTGCATATCATCATTATAAATAAGACATACAATTGGAGCCATCTTTTCCTAACTTTAATTCTGTTCTGCCAGGTGACTTCGGCTACAAGCTATAGTTTCATTTCAAAATGCAAGATGACAAAGAAAATGACTGGTTAACCAGTATAGCCTTGGTGTTTAGTAATTACTCACAGTTTAAAGATTAAATTGTTTGTGTTGTGCTATGATACAAAAGCTTTGTCAGGATCTTTCTGTTATACCCTGAGCCAGACAGCTGCAAGAGGTATTCTCTGGTGAGTGCCATGTGTTGTCTTAGAAAGTCCACCTCACTTCTCTGGACCTTGGTTTTGTTCCTATAAAATAGTGGCAAAAAAGGAAAGGATGATTTTTGAGCATGCCTTCCAGTGCTAATGTTTGCTAAGGCAGCAAGTACCCAGCCAGTTGTATTTAGTGGTGGGTATGTTTTGTCCAGTTCTTAATGTCGCAGTTCTTACAAGAATTAGGTGGTCATCTAGCCCACATCTGCTTCCTTTCCAGCTAGTTATCTGAGGCCCAGAGAAGTGATCTGTCCGTCATCACCTAGCCCAGCTTCGGCTTGTGTTCTCTCTCTGTACTGTGTCAAGTTGCACAGACCACATACATGCCAGCTCTTTATGCACCTCTCTACTTACATTTGTGCATTTGGAGCTCTGCTTTTGACTCTAATTTTTAACTTGTTTAAATGTTTAGAAGTCTTCTAAACAGTCCCGGAAATCTCCAGGAGATGAAGATGATAAAGACTGCAAAGAAGAGGAAAACAAAAGCAGCTCGGAGGGTGGAGATGCTGGCAATGACACAAGAAACACGACTTCAGACTTGCAGAAAGCTGGTGAAGGGGTGAGGCTGTGCTGATGCTTTCCTTATTTCCTCTTAACCTACAAGACATTTCACCTTGGAATCGGTGTCCATGAATTAGCATTAGTAAACTTGCAGCTTGTGATAGCCATTCACAAAGCCTGAAAGAATGGTCAGATGTTTAGAATCTGAAAACAAGAGAGGGCCATATGGAAAGTACACCTTCCTGGAAAATTGGAGCCCTGACTATTTTTACTACTTTAGCAACTTCAGAGTATTTTAAAGTAGGTTGCAAATAATTGATACTATGAAATTCAACAGTTCTGTTTCATAAAGTCAATGGCATGTCCAAAATTGAATATAAGTGTTCAAGCTACGTTTGAATACTGAAATTTAAAATACACATGTGAACAGATTCACTTATTTTGGTTCTTGTTGACTTTGGCATTATAGGCAGGTCCACACTCATAAAGTGGTAGGAAGATAATTTTTTGTACTTAGGCATTTCCCATAGCATCTTCTCTGTATAGATCACTTGTCTTCAAATAATAACCTATGGAGACTGAGCACGTGAGGGAGAGTGCTTGCCTAACGGTTAGCTCCCAGTACTACACTGATTGAATGTGTGGGTGACTCGTGTACCCATGGGGTACATTGTTACTCTTCTGTTGAACTCTAACTTTGTCTGCTCGTACCTGTTCTTACCTGTCCCAGTTGCCTCTCTGCTTTTTCTTTCTTCACCTAGTTTTCAATCTTACTCTCAAAGTATGATTTTAGTTGTTGTCTTACTCCTGTTACTCAGGTTAGCCTCCCTCAACTTCCTCCTTCTCCCTCCTCTCGGTTTTTGAGACAGGGTCTTGCTGTGTAACCCTGTCTGGCCTAGTTCTCACTATGTAGCTCAGGCTGGCCTCAAATTTATGTTACTCATTTCACCCTCCTGAGGGCTGGGTCGCAGGGTGCATCGCCACTCTTGGCCTATCTTCTTCTCTTGCAGCATTTAATGTCATGGGGGCAGTTTCTCCTTCTGACTGTCCTTACCAGTCACCATTCTCGTCTGCTTCCCTGTTTCCTAGGGCTCTCCTTCTTCAGTCTGTGTGGTACACTTCCTTAAGAATTCCCATATCCATCTTACCAACACTGTTCAGTTTGACTTGTCTCTGTGTACTTCTAATGATGACATTTACTCACCACTATGCTTGTAAAGTTAATTCATTTGCTTATATGAGGCAGAAGATTTAATTTTTTTAGTTAAAAAAGTGATTACTTGGTGGGTGGGGGCTGTCACAGCTTGCAAAGGTGCATGTGTAGAGATCCCAGGACAACTTTTGAAAATCCATACTCTTCACATGAGTCCTAGGGATCCAGCTCAGGTCTTGAACTTAGCAGAGCATGCTTTCCTTACCAAGCCAGCTTGCCAGCCCTTATTCAGTTTTCAATGTTGTATAATGCTCAGTTTATAAAGCATATATAATGCTATATGAATATGCCACAATTTACTTATTTGGACTGTTAATGGGTATTTGGGCTGTTTCTAGCTTGGACAATTTAGAACTATATTGCTATAAGAATTTTTTCTCCTAGTATACATGCTCAAGTTTTTTTAGGTATGTAGCTACAACTGAAAATGCTGAAGTACAAATTTATGGGTTTCATTTTTACCAAGTCACTTTCTGGAGGAATTGGACCATGTATGCTCAGACCAACAGCAAAGCTCCTGTAGTTAACTTGGTGTCATCTGACTTTGATTTTTTACAGTATGTTGGTCTAAAATAATTATTACAGTATGGATTTGTAATGCAGTGCAGTCAATGATAAGATCAAGGTTTCTTATGTTTATCATGTTCCCTATCCATGGTACACATTTCCAGGGTTTTTTGTTTTTTGTTTTTTTCCCGCCTGTTTTCCCTAGACTTTTTTTTTCTAACTGGTTTACAGGGCTTCACTTATTCTGCAGGATACTATTTAATAGTTTGTGTCTTCTCTGTTCACTTTCTTTTTCTTTTAGAGAACATACTTTTTCAATTTTAGTATAGTCATCTTTTCACTTTTATTTTGTGATTTATCATTTTCTGTCTTTAAGCATGATCATTTCAAACATCTTACTGAGACCGTCTGTTACATATCATGGGTTTCTGCCTGGACTCACTTATATTTATTTGGTCAGTTACCCACCCTAAACTATAGTAGCTTTCTACATAATCATAATAGTTCATAAAGTTAATAGCCTGATATTAAATTTATTTAAGTACTTGATACTCATGAGCTATAATAGAATGTCAGAAGGGGCTTTGTCTTCTTGATGCACAAATCTCTTATAAATGGTTCAACAGATGAATTATCAAAAAGAAAAGTTGCTGGAGCTGTGTTCTTTAAAAGGCAGGAAAGCATAAGATGAGCACACGTCGTGAGGGTTATTAGGGCAGAGATGCAGGTTAGTGGGTACTTGGGATGAGAGTTTATAAAAAATTCTTGTGTGGTTGCTTCTGTTTTCTAAGGAAACGGTCACTTGAGGGAATGCGGGCAAAAGTGCTGAAGTTTCACAAGAAAGGAAGTGGTTTAAAAATGTTACTTAGAACAGAAGAGTGAATGGATGAGAAATGAAGGTGGTTGTTGAGGCAGTGGGACTCCTTGGGGCTGGTGGGCACAGGCTTAAAGCAAGCAGTGAGAAGGATTGAGTTTGCTCCATGCAGATGGGGTTGTGCAGGCACAGTGAGGGCAGAGAGTTAATTCAGCTCAAGTACAAGAAAGGAGGTTGAGGCCAGGGATCTGAGTTTGTGGGGGAGGAGGGGCTAACTATAAAAATCTAAAATATGTTCATCTATTAATTAGATTTCTTATGTTCCGTTTTTGTAGTTTCTCATATATTCTAGATACTAATCCCCTGAGAAACGTAGAATTGACAAAGATTTTCCCCCCACAATAGGTTTTCTCTCCACCTCCTTCATCTTTCTCTTTTATTATAACAGGACCTTTTTAATTTTATATAATCCCATTTCTCAATCCTTGGGATTATTTCCTTTTATTTTTTCTCTTCTCTCAAAATCTTGTTTTTCTTTTTTTTAATATATTTTTTTATTTATTACAATTTATTCACTTTGTATCTCAGCTGTAGCCCCACCCTCCTTTCCTCCCAATCCTGCCTTTCCCCCTTTCCTCCTTCCTGTCCTCCCATGCCCCTTCCCCAGTCCATTGATATTGGAGGTCTTCCTTCCCTTCCCTCTGACCCTAGCCTATCAAGTCTCATCAGGACTGTATTTCATAGTCTTCCTCTGTGGCCTGGTCAGGCTGCTCCCTGCTCAGGGGGAGATGATCAAAGAGCCAGCCACTGACTTCATGTCAGAGAGAGTCCCTGTTCCCATTACTATGGAACCCATTTGGACACTGTGCTACCATGGGCTACCTCTTTGCAGGGGGTCCAGGTTATCTCCATGAATGGTCCTTGGTTGGAGTTTCAGTCTCAGAAAAGACCCCTGTACCCAGATACTTTTGTTCTGTTGCTCTCCTTGTGGAGCTCCTGTCCCCTTCAGGTCTTTCTATCTCCCCCTTCTTTCATAAGATTCCCTGCACTCTGCCGAAAGTTTGGCTATGAGTCTCAGCATCCACTTTAATACCCTGCTGGGTAGAGTCTTTCAGAGGCCTTCTGTGGTAGGCTCCTGTCTTGTTCCTTATTTTCACCTTCTTCCAATGTCCATCCCGTTTGCCTTTCTGAATGAAGATTGAACATCTTACCCAGGGTCCTCCTTGTTTAGCTTTATGGGTGTACAGATTTTAGTATGATTATCCTATGTTATATCTAATATCTACTTATAAGTGAGTATATACCATGTATGTCTGCCTCTGGGATACCTCACTCAGGATGATCTTTTCTAGTTCCCACCATTTGCCTGCAAATTTCATGATATCCTTGTTTTCAATTGCTGAGTAGTATTCCATTGTGTAAATGTACCACAATTTCTGTATCCATTCTTGAATTGAGGGACATCTGGGTTGTTTCCAGATTCTGGCTATTACAAATAAAGCTGCTATGAACATGTCCTTGTTATATACTTGAGCATATTTTGGATGTATCCTAGGAGTGGATTATGTCTTATGCTGTTAAAGCTGACAGAAAGTCCTTGCCTATGCTTCTGTCTTAAAATACTTTCCCTGTGTTTTTGTTCACTTTTTAAGGTAAAAATTATTGAGAATTACATACATAAATGTACTTTGATCAGATCTACTTTCCATTTCCTCCCCTATTCCTTACCACCACTTTCCCTTCTCAACTTCACATTCCTTTCTCTCAAGTATTTTCAAAGTATTAGGTCTTATATAAAAGTCTTTGATCTCATTTTGAATTTATTTTATACAGAATTTATTTTATACAGGATGAGATACAGATTTAGTTCTATTTTCCTACAGGTATATATCTGGTTTTCCTAGAACCATTTATTGAATAAGTAGTTTCCTCCTAATACATATTTTTTATAAAAATAAAAATTGGGTGGCTGTGTCTGTGGCTTTATTTCCAGGTCCTCTGTTCTATATTCCATTGGAATGTATATCTGTTTTTGTATTGACACCATGCATATCACTTTCAGTAATGTAACCATTTCAAATATTGATCCCTCCAACACATGAGCAGGGAACCTTTCCATCTCCTGCTTTCCAGTTTCTTTCTTCAGTTTCTTCACTTTTCATTGTGAAGGTCTTCCACCTTTTTGGTTAGATTTATTCCTGGGAATTTTACTTTTCTGATTCTCAGCAAGCTCATTATCAGTGTATAGCAAGTTTTTTTGATTTCTGTATGTTCTTTTTGTATCCTGCTGCTTTGTTAAAAATGTCTTTATGTTCTAAGAATTCGCTGATAAAACTTTTGAGATCTTTTAAGTATCAGATTATCAGCTGCATATAGGGATGATTTCTTCTTTTCCTATTTCTATTTTCTATTTCTAGCCCTATTATTTCTTATGTATAGTAGTGTCTTAAAAGGTAATTGCATTAGGAATCCATCTAGTGTCTTTCTGTTGCTGTAATAAAACACTGACCAAAAGGGTTTATTTGGCTTCCATTTCAGGTCACAGTCCATCATTGAAGGAAGTCAGGGCAGGAACTCAGGCAAGGCAGGAGCTTGGAGAGGAAACCATGGAGGAATGTTGGGTGTTGTCTCCACACATTTGCTTTCACCCTGGTTTGTGGTCAGCTAGCTTCCTTATACAGCCCAGGACCACCTGCCTAAGGATGGTGCTGGTGGCAGTGGGCTGGGCCCTACCACTTCAATCATCAAGCAAGACAGTTGCTCTCAAACATGGCCACAGAAACATGGCCACAGATAATCTGATCTGGGTAATCTTTCATTTGAGACCCTCACATCATTTTAGGCTGTGTCAAGTTGACAGCTAATGCTAATGAGGAATCTGAACTTTTATGTTTTGGTTCAGTAAAATCCGTTAAGACTACTTGGCAGTTCAAATAGTTTTTAACTTGTTTGGAAATACTGGTTTACTACTACAAATACTGATTTATTTTATTATATTTTAATCTTGTTTCTAAGTATCGCTATCTTTTTAGAAGTCTTGAAATGTCAAGGCACTGTCACATGGAGGATTTAGAATTAAAATTTTCACTTAAATAATCAAATTTTATCACTGGCAACAAATACTGTATTTTTTCTATGAATTAGTAAGTCTCTGTTTTTTTTACAAAGTGCCCAATATTAAATCTTTTTCTCGGTGTATAGTAACTACACAGATTCATTACAAAGTTTTCACCCGTGTGTGTGTGTGTGTGTGTGTGTGTATGTGTATGTGTGTGTGTGTATGTGAATATGTATATACATACGCACCTACATGCGTACATACCGTTATATTTACCCAGGCCTGGTCCTTGTTCCCTTTCACCTCCTGCTTATCTCTTTCTTGTTTTAAATCTCAAATCTGTACATGAGAGAAAACAAGCTTTTTTTACTTTCTAGGTCTTGTTTATATCATTTAATACAGTGATCTCTAGTGCCAATCATTTTCCTTCAGACAGCATAATTTCTTTTGACTGGGTAAAACTCGTGTGTGTGTCATGTTTTTTTTATCCTTTTGTAGGCACTTAGCCTGATTCCATAACTGGGCTATTGTAAGTGTCACAATAAACATGGGCATACAAGTACGTACCTCTACTGTATGCTGCTTTTGATTCTTTGTGTGTATATTCAGGATTGGTACACATGATCAGCAGTAATTCTGCCTTGTTGATATTTTTTTCATTTGTGTGCACGTCTGCGTGTGTATGTGCCAGAGGGCAAAATTGAAAATCCTCCATCACTTTCCATTTTGAAAAAGAAGACAGTTTCTCAGTGAACTGATGCTCATGGATTTTGCTAGGTTGGCTGTGTAGTGCCTCTCCCATCTGCTTTCCTCTGCAAGCACTGGTGTTACCAATATTCACTGCCATACACAGCCTCACACAGGTGCTAGGGATCCAAAGTCAGGTCCTCTGGCTGGAGCAGCAAACACTTCAGTCACAGAGCCGTCTCGTCAGCCCTTACTTTTAGTCTTTAGGAGACCCTCCACACAGGTTTCATAGAAGCTCTGCGAGTCTGTCTCCCCAGCAGAGTTAGGGCTCCCTTTTCCATCTGTGTCCTCAGCAGCGTTTGATATGTGTTTTCTTGATTATAGATAGCCATTCCTACTGGGGTGAGATGGACTCTCACTGTAATTTTGATTTTAATCTCACCACTCAACTCACCAAACATACATATCATAATATAAATTTTTATATGAAAAGGGTATTCTGTGAAAAAAATCCTTTTGGCTTCTACCTGCCGTATGTTGGGTATCGTCAGCTTTGCTGTTCTCTAAGGCCTTTTAGCATGTCTAAAATTAAAATAGCTCAAGAAGGACTCTGACTGTACCCTCCACATGCCAGTCAGCATACCCACATAAGGCATGAAACGTGAGCACAGAGCATGAATACCACCCTTGCTCTCTAGGTAGAGGGAGCATCAGGCCTCACAGATACCCAGAGCTCCATGTCCAGTATGTAGACACCATTATGAATTAGAAATTAATGCATGTGAATACAGTAGTTAAACATTTAAAAGTCACAGACTCTGCAGTTGCTCTACAAGCACCCATTTGACAGCACCTTATTTAAAAATAAAGAGGTGTCCTCTTAAAGGTCACATTGGAGACACTGTCTTTTCTGTGCATTGACAGTACTCTTGAGGCGACTGTTGGATCTGCTCCAGAATAGTCTTTAATATTAATTGAGCTGTTAAGTGAATTTTCTGCCAGGATAAACATAGAATTTATTGCCTTTCACATAATATTAATAAAATATACTACTGAAGTTTTTTTTGGTTGATTAACAATTTTTCATGATTTGGGTATTTTCTTCCTTCTAAGAGAGTCCTCCAAAGCTAGTATTTTCATTTATTCATAAATCAGTTACTAGACATTACATTTTTCAAGTTCATAGGTTGTAAACATGACTTTAAAAAAATCGAAGGTCTGCCAGCCTCCTTGATTGGGGTAGGGACAGAGAAAGTAAAATCTGTTTCTGCCCTCCTATGGGAATGGTAAGTGTGATGCCTTTTTTTCTGGTGCTGGTCCTGTGGTGATTTGAATAGGGTAAGTGTGACTGGCTTTGGGTAACTGGGATCATCCACAGGCACATGTGTTGATTGGGTTACTTATAAGATACTCAAGCTGTTTTAGAGGAAAACATATTTGTGGCCCGAGTTCCTTTTTTTTTTTTTTTTTTTGTCCATCCCATGAGAACTAGAAGTAATTAATATATTTAGGTTAATGACACAGAAAACAAAAATAGCACCTCCTTGGGGAAATATAACCTGACACAGTTTAAAGTTGGAATTTAAATTGAAATGTAATTCTTGGTCTGTAAGATGGCTCAGTGGATAAAGTAAGCTGCCACCAAGCCTGATGACCTGAGCCTTGATCCTAACGTGCACACAGCAGGAGAGAACCTGCTGGAGCGTGTTGCCATCTGACCGTCACGTGTGCACTGTGGCATGCACCCACACATGTACAAATGAACACACATTCTAAAGCATAAAATATAAAACTGAATTAAATTTTTGATTGTTTTATGAAACAGGAAATTTTTGTCTTTGTCACATGTATCCCACATGAATTTTAAAAGAAATCTGGACTTTGTTTCTTTTTTTTTCTTCAAAAGTATAAAGTCAGAGAATGGACATACTGATGTTAACTTTTGTACTTTGTTGTGCCATGTGTGCCACAAGTAACTAAAGTTGTAAATATTTTGCCCCTGTGTGTGCCTGTGTGGTTTGCAGCTTTACCCAGCTCACCTTTCTTTCAGACAGTACAGTCCTACATTAGGCGCAGGTTGCCGTTACTTTAGCAGCTTTGTGCATACCAGCAGCAAACATCTCGAGTGGTGGAGCTTGTGACAACAGCACACCTTCCCCCTGTCAGCGAGTAGACAAAGATTCCTCTTCAGGATTTGTTTTTGTGTTTTTAGCAGAACACTAAAACTAGCATTTAACTTTTTGTGGATAAAAAGCAAAGCTTCTTGCTGCCGCCATAAAAGCTGATGCTGTTTCAGACCTCAGAAAAAGCAGTGCTGTGCTCCAGAGGTGTGGACGGCTTCCCGTGTGAGTACCCCAGCTCATCTAAGGCTTGTTTCATTTGCTTTCTTCCAGACCTAACTACCGTAATGAATGCTGCATATTGAGAGACACCACAAGAAGGTTAAATGTTTGATTGTCTCATTCTTGGATTCGATATGAACCAACACAGTCTTTGTTGTCATTGACAGAAGCCCAGTATGTGTGTACATTATTCACATTCCTCTCTGTTCTGTTGAAGAGAAAAAGAGACATTTGAACCTTTTTTAAGGTTACTGACTTAATTTTATGTTACTTGGTTGCATGAAGTTGCCCTTAACCACTAAGAATTATCAAGATTTTTGCACAGACTTCTCCATATCTAGGCTTCTTTGCCAAGGCAGTTCTGGTCATCAGCTTCCCGCCTCTACCCCACCATCAGGAAAATAGTAATTTACTCAGTTAAATAGTAATTCCTATTTTTTAGATGACTGCTCAACATAATACTTCAGGATGGGATTTTCTTTCTAACAGAACCCAAGAACCAACTCCTAGATACACACTGTTGGTATATTGGAGATGAAATTAAAATCATCTTTCAGTTCTAAGGCCATGTGTAAAGTTCGACCATATTGTAAAGTACCTATTCTGTATTAGAAATAGCTAGTTGAAACCTATACTTCTCAAAACTCATGTTGCTGTGTACACAAACTGAGTTTATATGTGAACCTAGTGAGTCTTTTTGTGTTATACCAAAATAAAGCAAGGATTTATTTTTTTCCCAATGCCAATATGATTTGAGCTGATCACTCAAGATGGTCACTTCACACTTGAAAGCTGAAATCAGCAGGAGCACTATGGGAAACTAGACAAAGCATTGACTCTTGAATATAGGCTTTTAAAATAAGCTTTTCTTTTGGAAATAGAATTAGAGTAGGTAACATTCATCCACAAGCCATTATTATGTGTACATTATTGTTGCTATTGTGATAATAGAGTCTTATTTATTTTTATGCCAGCTTATACTGTGAGAACACTTAGTCAATTTGGGTTTCATCAACCCTGCTGTGCTTGTCCTTGGAACATCTTTTGTGTATGTTTAAGGTTTGTAGCTGAAAAGTTTACTGTAAAAAAAAATCAAAGACAAAAAAAATGTATTGTTTTTACAGAATAAATTTATTGGAATGTGTACTGGGAGTAAGGTTTGAGGTTGTAAACAACCGAGTTAGTGTTATTTGGCTTTATACGTGTAATGTGAAATATTAATGTAATTACTATATTAAAGCAAAGATTGACAGCAAGTTGACATTAGAATTAAGTGCAGGTGAAGATTTTTTTTCTGTCATTTTTTTCTTTTTAAATATTCTGGTTGTTAGGTTAGTTGAGGGATGGGAGGGAGTATCAGTAGGATCTGTCTGCACATCTAAGAAAACACCAGCTCAGTGGACCCTACGCTTACATACAGCCTTGTATGCATTCCGTTTTCGTTTGGTTTTCTTATTTTGTTGAAGAACTAATGAAAATGAAGAGAAACTATAAGACCACCTAAAGGCCAGTGTCATTATGTGAAGAAGGTGATGCTGGGGTCTGGAGGTTAAACATACCACTCTCTGAGCCCTTAGGCATACTGAGGAGGCCACTGTGTTTTTCTGTCATGTAGCAATTGATTGTACGCACACAGATTCAAGTATCGAAAGTTCATTAAAAGACAGACTGCCACATCAGGTTTTTAGTATTTTATTTTAAAATTAATGAAATTCATCAAAAGGCCATTGATTACAGTAAAACATATGGAGAATGTATATAACATTTTAAATTGGGACATATAACAGGGTTTGGTTTTGTTTTTTGAGACAGGGTTTCTCTGTAGCCCTGGTTGTCCTGGAACCTTCTCTGTAGACCAGGTTGGCCTCAAACTCATAGATCTGCCAGCCTCTGCCTCCCAAGTGCTAGGATTAAAGGCGTGTGCTGCCACCACCTGGCACAGGTTTCTTAAATAAAAGTTCAAAATTTGTCATGAAAAAATGTATACATGAAATGCTTCAAAGTTAATAAAGTTTATCTTTATAAAACACCAAAAATAATTTTATTGAAGATATACACAGAAACACAAGAAAATTATTGCCAGCCACCAGTAAAACAATTGTTCATTAAGGCAACTAATGAAGTTGATTTGTGTCATTTTAACTATTTAAATTCATAATAAAAGTTTTGACAGCAATAAATAATATGTTTTCCTTGTTGAAGACACTTTAGACAACTTAAAAATATCCTGATGATCTGGTGTGTATATTAAGATTGTCAATGACGCATACATTTCATATGAAGAAGTTATCTCTCCAACCTATAATTGCTGTTTTGAATTATTTCCTATGCATAGTGAATATGGTTAGTCACTTCTGAAGAGTTTCATTTTGTGCTTTTTTTTTTTTAGGCACTAGAGTTGTAATTTTCACACATAATATGTGCAAACAATGTTAAAATCAATGATCACATTCACAAAAAAATTTTGATACTTTTTTTTTAAACAAGCTGTTTCTCAACTTCAGTTTCCCTTCAAAAATGAAAATGTGCCCACACAATAATATTATTTTCACTCACAGAGAAAATAAGCTGCAGAGCAAGAATGTGAATTGTTCATGAGTATTCATGTATGGAAGGGAAGAAAAGTAGAGTTCCATTAACAGGCTCAGAAAGGACGTGAGGTATGTTTACTCCACCTTTTCATCTGCCTTTGTTCTTAGGAAGAACTCAGGGTTGTAGGTGCAACGATAGGCCAAGAGCTGAGGAAGAACTCCATAGGCTATGTTTAACGCTAAAAAAAGGATTTTCGCTTCTTCAGGGACTCTGTAGACATAAGCAGTTCTCGCATGAAGGGAAGCACCGATGTGAGAGAACTGAGCCTGTTTACGTCAAAACAAACCAAAAACGGTGTGAGTATGAGATCTGTTCACTTGGATTAATAATGATTCTGAGGGTCTCACTCAGATAGTGTGCCCTCAAAATCTGACTTAAAGGCAAAATACCGTTAGATAATCCAATCTTAATATATAATCTTCCACTAAATTTAAGGTTGTTCTTGATAAAACTATTCAAATAATGTATCCTTTTCAAAGTGTGGTTTTATCATTTTAGTTGTGTTTTTTAACCTATCCAGTGCCCAATACAAAACATTACTGGCTCAATTCAACAACAACAACAACAACAAATTTTAATAAAATATTCCACTCTTTTAAAATTTGAATTCTAGGAACTCTGACTACATACACAAATTGGGCTCAAATTACAAATAAAGTTAACTTTTAAAATCTAAACTGTAGTTAGTGTAACAAGCTATTTAAAGAGAAGCCCTGAGGACCTCAGTATCATTTATCAGACTGATAACCAGAAGCAAGAGCTCAGAGCCCCATCATCATGTACCTTTGTGTATTTGGTAGGTTCAGCTTAATAACACTATGGTTTGTTGTAAGATACTTGTTAATAGTTTGGCTATGGATAGCAGTATGATAATAAAATGACAACCTTCCAGATCAGGCTGAAATCTACTTAGAATTGTGACTGGTCAGCGTAACTGAAGCTTCAGAGCAGAATGGCAAGCACCCGCCTCTGATTGTGTGTGTGTGTGTGTGTGTGTGTGTGTGTGTGTGTGTGTGTGT